GGTTAAGATCACATTGGATGTATGGTCTCTTGAGCCACAGGGACACTGAAACAACTCATCAGGAATGTGTGCTTTTTGGCTTTGCAAATAGCTTACTTCTCTTTTTTTCCTTCTAGGCTGTCCCATCCAAGGTCACTCAAGCCCCAATATCACGTGGTTCCATGGTGGCCAGCCAATTGCCACTGCCATAAGACTGACATATCAAGTCTTGGCAACAGGACAGATTCTTCGGGTTGCAAATCTCAGTGGCGAGTCTCAAGGGGAATTCAGCTGCCTTGCTCAGAATGAGGCAGGAATGCTCATGCAGAAGGCTTCTCTAGTGATCCAAGGTAAGAAACAGTATCCCTTCAGGCTTTTGGCTGTTGGACTTATTTCTTGAACAAGAGTGTCCACTTGGGAATCTAATACTCTAGTAGAACAAAATGATTTTTTATCTCCAATGGCTCCTGGAGCATGATAATTGAAGCTAAACCATATTTCCATAACAACCCTTCAGAGCCACCAAGTCCCATCCCAGCAGAACCTGGAAGAGACAGTGCTGCTTTTATAAATGGGCACTTCTGCTCACCAAGTTATCAATGTGTTATCTTTATGCTGATTTAACTAGTAAAAACCACATACGGAGAGAGAGAAAGAGAGAGACATAACCTGATAAGAAACTTAACTCTTCATCATTGGTGTGGTTAAAAAACACCTCTTGATGTGAACTGTCTGCTTATTGCCTCCTGTCCTAGAGAGAAGGCACTGGTGGGGTGATGGCTGACAGTCTGGGAAGGGTGTCAGGTGTAATCACAGTCCAAGTGCTTTCCAGGCTTCTCTGCTTTGTTTTCTCATCAAAGAGCAGATTGTGGAGCCTGTGTAGCTCCTGCTCTTTACTTCCAGGAACATAGGTGGGGCCTGACATTGACCACACCAAGGAGTTGTGAATTAACCCAGATAGTGTGGAAAAGAGTCAAATGTTTGCCTTTGTATAGAAACTACATGAGGCTTTTGAATTTGCCATTGCTTAGTCCTACCTGTGGCCTACCGTATTTTTGCATCTAGCGCTTACAGGAAATTAAGGAATGAGAGGATTGCATAGTTTGCATAAAATGTATAACACAGGCATTATTCATGTAAAAATATAGTACTGTGTGATACTTCTAAAGAAAGTAAACTTCTACTGCATGCATTCCAAAATGGAGGGGCCTGTGGAAGAGAACTAATGTGGAAATACTGCCTTGGAAAGGCGGGAGATTTTTCTAAGTGCATAGGCTTTTCCCTTAAACATCTTCCCTGCCATTTAGCTTTCCAGACAGGAAAATAAATGTTCCATTTTCTTGCCAGCAAGCCATTCTCTGCTGGAAACCAGAAGCCAGTGGCTATCTGCAAAGTGTATAATATACAGCTTTCCAAATAACCACTCAAAATTTACCAGCTCACAATTATTTTTAACAACTTTCCTACCAGTGAGTCCCAGACCCCAACTTGAAAACCTAAAACAGTTGGATTTCTTACTCACTTCGTTGCCTCACATAAATGAGTACTCTCTGGGCAGAATGTTTTTGTAACATTTACAAAATCCAATTGAATCTGCACTTTTAAATATGATTGTTAAATATTTCTGATATATCTATATCTCTTTGTTAAAAAAAGAAAAAAAGTTGGCTCAGGTGAACCAATCACCTAACTCATTGCTGTCAAGTCGGATCTGACTCATACCAACCCCTCCTTGGGTTTTCGAGGCAATATCACTATGGAAGTAGTGATATTTCCTGATCTCTCTTCTGAGGAGCAGCTGGTGGGTTTGAACTGCCAGGCTTCTGGTTAGCAATGCCTTAGGCACTACACCACCAGAGGAAAAATAAATATTTTAGCAAAATGTTTATAAACTATAAGAGCTACTGCTGTTTATTAAGTACTTTCTATGTGTCAGGCACTGGGCTAGGCCTTTATTTCATTACATCCAATCTGCACAAGAACTTGATGATATGAGGATAAACATACTCAGTTTATAGATGAACCAATTGAGGCTCCTGGAGACCACGTAACTTGCCCAAATCGGTTAGGAACAGAGCTACAGTAGGGTCAGCACATCCCTCATAATAGTTCCTCTCCCCTCAACCAACCTTCCTAACCCCAACCCCCATGCCCACCTGCCCCCCACCCCACTAAGAAGAAATACAGAGTGTGGGCAGTAATGCCATCTTCTTTTTCCCTCTGCTCCTCCTTTTTTGATAGATTACTGGTGGTCTGTGGATAGACTGGCAACCTGCTCAGCTTCCTGTGGTAACAGGGGCATCCAGCAGCCACGCCTGAGGTGTCTCCTGAACAGCACGGAAGTCAACCCCAGTCACTGCACAGGGAAGGTGCGCCCTGCTGTGCATCCCATTGCCTGCAACCGGAGAGACTGCCCTTCTCGGTGAGTGTGACGGGTACTGGCTCAGGCTGCCCATCCCCAGCAGGAGCCCTTTTAGCTGGGTTGATGGCCAGCCCTTGTCTAGCACTGGGGAGCCAATGGTGTGAATTAAGGGAGAAGGGACATGTAGTCCGAGGAGGTTTCCTGTGGGCACAGGTTTGTCAGGTCTGTCCATCATGTTGGAAATATCCGTCAGAATGAGCTTCCTCTCTCGACTCTATTCTTACCACCACCAGCTGATGGCTGCCTGGACTGCCCAAGTGTCTTAAAGTTCTTCTCAGGGAGCAAGAGCATCACAGGCCTGGCAAGAAGTAGCTTCCACCTTGCAGCAGAAAACGGGCCCTTTAGCTTGTTAGTAAAGAGAAAGAAATGTGTGTTCAGTTGAAGAGCTAAGGAAACAAGGATAACTGGGCTCTACCCCAATTCTCCCATCTTCTTACTTTTAATACCCGTGTTCAACAGTACTCCAGTTTAGTTGAGGAAATCTAGCCTTCTTTTTTTCTGCACACTACTGCATCCAGCTAACATTAGAATACATCCCCATGTCCTGTAGTTCCTTCAACTTTGGATTGAATTATATTGAGGTACTTCATACAGTCCAGAATGACACCCAAGTCTTTGCCTCTTATATTCCCTTGTCCATAGAGAAGCTGTGAGGCCCACTGAGCACCCACCCCCAGTCTGCAACAGGAGCTAAAGGGATAATGAGTGGGCTTGAAGTTGGTACCAGCATGGTGTCCTGAGCCTGTTGGGCCTTGGCTCAGCCCTGAAATGTTGCCTTACTACCTACCCATAGCATTTTCATACACTCCTTAGGCAACTGCTTTGTGCTTTGCCAGCTGAGTCATAAGGAGCAGCTGAAACCAGGAGAGACTCAATGAAATATGAACCACACTCATTAATATCGGCAGTTTGACTTGCTGACGGGAAGGTTTCCACGGGCATGATTAATGGCCTTTTATACCCTTCCTGAACTGTAACATGGCCCCTGCTTCTCCTTTCTCAAACTCCCCACCCCAGCTTCAAATAAATTGCTGAAATGTATATTTGGAAATAAAAGATGATTGAAATGCAGGCCTGACGTTCACCAGGGATCTAAGAGGCTGGAAGGCTGCCCTTGCCAAGCTGTATGAAATGAAGAAGCGATCTGTGACGTGCCAGGAACGTTGTGATTTGATTTGGTGACGGTCAGAGTCAATCAGCTTAATTTACTTCTCTAAGTGAAATCATAATGGATCCGTCTGCTTGGGTTTCAGTACCTCCAGGAGTTTTAACACACCTTATGCCTGCTTCCAATGGCCCTGTCCTGTGGGTTGTAACTCCCCAAAGAGCCATCTCTCTCTAGGGCAAGTGAAGCAGGAAAATTGCCACAAAACTCAGTGAGTCGTAAGTCCAGATTCGGGAGGAATTTGCTTCCCTTCCTTGCTACATGTCTCTCCAGAAATAGGTGTTACGCCACTGGGCTAGAAAGTGGCCACTCACCAAACCAAACTCACTGCCATCAAGTCAATTCCAACTCATAGCGACCTCTCTTTGGGTTGACAGGGTGGTAAATCTTTATGGAAGTAGATTACCCAGTCCTCCTCCCACGGAGTGGCTGCTGGGTTTAAACTGCCAACCTTCTGGTTAGCAGTCAAATGCCTTAGGCAGTACGCCACCAGAGCTCCTTAGATAGTGGTCATAGGCTAACCTTTAACAGGCTTTCCTGTCAGGTGTTTTGGGCACATTAGCCTCCTCCATATACAACAGTGTTGCCCTGGTCAGTCTTTCTGAGTAGTACTGGGAAGTCCTACTTTGACCCAGGTAACTATTTCAACCATTTCCCCATTAGATAATTTTCTTTCCCCTCTTGGACAATAAAACCAAATAGTTTTGTTTTTTTTTTTCAGATTGAATGAAATGGCTAAGAAACACCAAGCCTCTCCTCACTATTTTCCCCACACTGTCCCCTTTCCCTTCTCCTTGAGAATTATCCCAGGGGACACACATGCAAAGAGAATCCCTGCATGTTTGCATATGGACCAAGGTGGTCAGAGTGTTTCCCAGCCTACAGCTTTGCCTTATGAGAAAAGCCCATTGTGACAGTCTTGGTCAGTCTCATCTCTGGGAACCTCAATTGTAGTTGGAACCAACATTCTGAGAACTCTCCACCACATATGCAGCCCTCTACAAAGTCTCAGACCTACAGAACTATGACCCAGGGAGGTAAGAAATGTCTCCAGAAGGCTAGAGAGAACTTTGTATGCTTCTGAGGGATTAAACCAAGTCAAATGAAATGTGGGTTAAGGTGAGGTAAAAGGTATAGTGCTCCCAGATAATACTTGACTTCAGTGAAGCCTGGATTCCCTCTTGTTTATGTCATGAGGCCACACAGATTTGGGTCTGACTTCACTAGGAAACTGTCCCTCCTCTGCCACACAGGTAGATGTCTTTAGGAAGTTCCAGAACTATAGTGTAGTAAATATAATTACAATGTAACTAGATAAAAGCTCTCTCCAGTTCAAGTGTTCACTCTGGGCCATTATCCAGCCAAAGCACTGACCCTCAGAATACCCTTATCAAGTTGTACCTTTCTGGTCAATTTCCCATGCATGGCATAGTGCCTAAGGCACTAGACTGCTAACCAGAAGGCTGGCGGTTCAAACCCACCAGCCACTCCTCAAAAGGAAGGTTGGGCAATCTACTTCCATAGTGAATACCGCCTTGGAAACCCCGTGAGTTGTGTCCGACTCAACAGCAGTGTGTTTGTTTGTTTTTAGTTTCTTGAGGCTACCATAACAAATTACTACAAACATGGTAGCTTAAAACAACAAATTTATTCCTTCATAGTTTTAGAGTCCAGCATTCTGGAATAAAGGTGTCAGCAGGGCTATTCCCTCTTTCCATCCGTTACTGCTTTCAGCTTCTTGTGGCTGCAGGCCTTCCTTGACTAGTAGCCACATAGTTACAATCTCTGCCTCCACAGTCACATTGCTTCCTCCTATCAAACCTCCCTCTGCCTTTCTTTTATAAGGACCCTTATGATGGCATTTAGGGCCCACTTGCATAATCTAGGATGATCTCTTCATTTCAAAATAATTAAGACATTTGCAAAGACCCTTTTTTCCAAATAAGTGGGTTCCAGGAATTTGACAGGGATACCTTTGGGGGGCCATAGCCCTCAAATTAGCAGGTATGGGTTAGGAGGAGATGTCTGGGGCACTCTCTTTCTGGGAGTATGCTCTCTCCAATGCCTGACTCTTCTTTCTCTCCCCAGGTGGATGGTGACCTCTTGGTCTGCCTGTACACGGAGCTGTGGGGGAGGTGTCCAGACTCGTCGGGTGACCTGTCAGAAATTAAAAGCTTCTGGGATCTCCACTTCTGTGCCTAATGACATGTGCACCCAGCTTGCCAAACGGCCTGTGGATACCCAGGCATGTAACCAACAGCTCTGTGTGGAGTGGGCCTTCTCCAGCTGGGGCCAGGTAAGCAGCCAGAGATGTTTTTGTTTGAAAGCTAAATCTAAAGGTGCAGATCCTGCCACAGTGGAAAGTAAAATGCACCAGTGACACCTCCTCCACTCCTTCTGTGATGATGACCTTTCACTTTCCCTCCCATAAACTAACCCAAACTAGTGTCATTCCTAAAGCCCAGAGTCTTAGGTACTTCTTTCCTGACACCAACACATCTTCCTTACCCATGACATTTTTCTTTCTTGATTTCCCACCACCCTAAGACCTTCCCATTCTCAGATCATCATCAGACCCTCAGAGACACCTCCTTACACTCACTTCCTATAGGGTATCTTTCTCTCTGGTGATACTAGGACTGATGGCTTTAAGGTCTGTTGAGCCCCACCTGGGGACTGCAGGGTTGCTCTGAGCCACTGGTTCTCAACTGGGTTGTATTGTTCAAATCACAGGAGAAACTTTCAGAAAATACCATTGCCCGGGCTTACCTTCCTGAGATTCTGGGTGATTGGTCTGAGGCGGGATCCAAGCACCGGTAATTTTTACATACATCCCAGTGATTCTGCTGTGCCGCCTTGCTCAAGCCAAGGGTTGAGAACCATTGTTCTGGGCCAAGAAAAGTTGAAGCCTAGCTGGATCACTTTGAAACCACCAGCTTTTTCTCAATTCTCTGGCAGATGTTAACAAAAAAGTCCAGGTGAGCTCAATGGATAGTCGAAACTGGGGCTCATCTGACACTAGGAGTTGAGGGATAGAGGGATATATCCCTCTGAATATAGTGAAGGAGTCATGACAATTCTATTTGGAGACGAAATTTTATGTTTGGATTTTGAGAGGGAAATGAACACTAACTGAAGATTCCCTATGACAAAGAGCAAACCTGAGCAACAAGAGACACCAAACACTGTCAGGTTCCTTTTGAAATCAGCCTGAGAAAGCAGACAGAGGGAGGGGGCGTGGGAGGAAGTGCTGCTGCGGAGGGTGACCTCACCATTGTTCTCTCATTTCTGGGCCAGATGGAACTGAGAAACTTGTAAGGAGCACAAGTTGTTAGAAGCCCAGGTTTTCCCCAGCCCAGGAGATAAGACCTCTATCTAGAAAAATAGCTGTCCTCCTCTGACCCTTCCACCATTTTAGATTGTTGTTGGCACCAAAATCAGGTGTGGAGGTGCTTGGGGAAAATGATATAATTGTACATACTCTGTTTCCTCCCAAAACATAATGGGAACATTAGAACCACCGGCCAGGGCTGATATTCAGCTAGTACAGGTGGTAACATCTATTCTGATTGGTCAGGGTCTGGCTTTAACTGATTGGATGACCATTGTGAGTAGTCAGGTGTAGTTTCTGATTTGTCAGTGTGCGAACCATACCATTAAGCTTGGCTACCTAGGTTACCCCCAGATAACAATCATACTTTTAATTCTTTGGGTAACTGTATGAACCACTGTGGCTGGATGTTATTGGGGTACTTAGCACCTCAAAACTTGTTGGAATTGGCTATCTATGGATGCATGCATGTCCCCTCCACCCACACCCCCAGATATGATCTTTGGAAAACAATCACTTGGAAGTTCTTACAAAGTTAAGCACTCTGCGGCCATCCATAATGAAGATTAAATGTAATTTGGGGGGAAGTGACCACAGAGATCACTTGTAATGAACACATAGGGCATGTAGGTCCCAGGTGAGACTGAGACGAGTGTTCCAATAGTGGCCAATCAGCACAACTGGCCCCTGGCTCCTTTCTGGCAGCTCTTCCAACTCCCCAACCCTTTATTTCCAGTGACATAATGTGTGTTGCTTCATAATCAAAGAGGCATCCGACTCATAGTGACCCTTCCTCAGGTTTCTGAGGCAGTATCACTATGGAAGTAGATTGCCCAACCTTCCTTCCAATGAGTGGCTGATGGGTTTGAACTGCCAGCCTTCTGGTTAGCAGTCAAGTGCCTCAGGCACTGTGCTACCATCTTCCTCCTACCTGGAGAAGCCCATTTCTGATAGCTCTCATCAGCCCAAGGCAGCACTTTTTCCAGCCCCTCAAGGCTTATTGGGGTTTGTGGAATTACAATTGGGAACAGATCTGGCTACAAATGAGATGTTTTTGCATTGTGTCATGGAGGTTACTCAAGGGGACATAGGGTGCACATTGATAGTTCTCAGTGACCATTTTTCCCAACAGAAAAAGAGAGCTTCCTCTATTCTTTCTCTCCAAACCCTCACCCCCCTTCTTAGAAGGCTTTAATCTTCTAGGCTAGTATCTCTCAAACTTTAATGTGAGTCATCTTGGGATCTTTTTAAAAAAGTCAGATTCTGATTCAGTAGGTCTGGGGTAGGGTGGACCTGAGATGCTGAATGTCTTAAAGAGCCCAAATGATGTCAATGTTACTGGTCCATAGACCATACTATAAAGAGTAGCACTTGTTAAGGTTCCTACTATTTGATGCATTACAAATAATAGAGAACTGCTTGATCTCACAATCCTGTTCATCTTTTCATGTTGGTGATATTGTTAGAATGTGCTTCAAACTATAGGTGCCCCAAAACTTCCACATTCTGCTTCTGTGAGAATGAAGATTTTCTGACCAGAAAATCCTTTTGGGATGTTAATTGCCACTGAGTTAGTGCTGCACCACCTTAATGATCATTGGTATGTTTTCATCCATTGTGTTGGTTATTGTGTTGTTATGTGCCATCAAGTTGGACCTGACTCACAGCGACCCCTCCTTGGGTTTCCAAGGCAGTATCACTACGGAAGTAAATTGCCCCATCTTCCTTCTGAGGAGTGGCTGTTGGGTTTGAACAGCCAGCCTTCTGGTTAGCAGTCAAGTGCCTTAGGCACTACACTACCAGAGCTCCCAGTTATTGTGTAGTGCTTCTCTTTTAGCACTTTATTGGACGGTGTTCTGTTGTAATCCCTGAGGTTCTAACTGGCTAATTTTCAGAAATACATCACTACACTAGGCCTTTTTGCCTAGTCCATCTCAGTCTGTAAGCTCTGCTGAACCTGTCCACCACAGGTGATCCTGCTGGTGTTTGGCTGGTGGCATAGCTTCCAGCAATATGCAAACCAACATAGTATGTATGACAAACTGATAGATGAGGTGGTCATGCAAGTATGTGTTTTTTCCCACCTGCCTACCTCCATGAAGTCTTTGAAAATCATACTAATTTTAAGATAAATAGAACTAAAACTACCTTCTCAACTGTAACCACATGGCTTCATGTAATAATTCAACTTTCTTCTTTCAATCTAACATTGATGGGGTGCCTGTCTTAGGCAAAAGAAGCTGCAGCATATTTGTAGGAGAATTGGAAGAAATCATGGGGGTGGCATCTGACCTCCTATAACTTCACAAGGGGAGAATCATTGTATCAAATGCCCAAGGATGATTCCTAGGAGGTGGTCAGACATACTGACAACCTTTTTACCAATTCTGACAGCAACTGTCCCTCCCCTGGTACAGTCTCCTTCTCTGCTGCAATTGGCCACACAGACAATACTCACAAGTATGGTGTTTATTAGGGAAGTAACAGGTTACAATTCAGGATGCAGTGCTTTAATCAGGACAGTTTCTTCTCAGCAGTGCCTACCTCTCCAGCCCAATGGCTGCTTCCATCTCAGTGAGGTGTTATAGCACTTTCTGGCTCCTGAGTCAAGGATGTTCCCAATCCAGAGACCCTGGGTCCAAAGTACTCACTCTGCTCCCCCCTCTTCTTGGTAGTAATCAGGTCGCCATGCTCATTATTTACATTAGCTGTCCAATCCCCTTGGTGGGCCACAATCACCTCACCTGTGTATTGTCCTACCCTGTCAGTTGGTGCCTAGAAATATTTTTAAGCAGTGTGGCCAGAGTTACACTTTTAAAAGATTATCCCATCAGCATCTTAGCAATTCACTGGGGAAGGGACAAGACTGGAAAAAGAGGAAACCTAATGGGAGTGAGAAACAGTGCTGGTCAGAATGAATTAAGGCAGTGGGAGTGGAGAGGAGCTACCATGAAAGTGTGATTGACAAGTTTTTGTGATCTATTGTATATTGGGAATGAGAAAGAGGAACCTAGGATGACTATCTCAATGGCTTCTGGATGGAACTAGATATACTAGAGGCAATTAATTGATTTGGAACTTAAAAGGGAGCTGTGCTACACACTATCAGTATACAGATGATGGCTAGGAGTTACGGGTGATATTCACCCAGGAGAAAGGGAAAGCATGAGATGAAGAAAAGGCAGAGAACAGAACTGGGGGAGCACTAATTAACCTGTGGGAAGATGAGGAAAAGGGCTAATCTCATGAGTAGGAGAAAAAATTTGAAAGTGTGCTCACAAAAGCTAAGGGAGGTGATGTTTCTAGAATGAAGGAAGGCTCAGTGGTATCAAAATGCATCAGGAAGAACAAGTATGATATAGATTAAATATTGATTAGTGCCTTCTGGAACTTGACTGGCCCTGGAAATGGCAGTTACGATATGAGCACAGGCATTTAGTCCAAAAGAAGGGACATGTAGGGCTTCTAGGGACACAGTTATTGGTGTCAAGGGGAAATCTCTTCCATCCCCTGCCCCTCTCCCCTAATCCCCTGTGATTTTGTGAACTGTGATGTCAAATTGCATCCTTGAGAGTCCAGACAAGCACTGACTGGCCTTGGGCAAAGGTTCATAACCTTTGAGGTCAGGGACCTCTTTGACCATTTGATGAAAGCTGGAGTTTCATACTAGAAAAATGTCAATACACACAATACTTCTGCTTGTAATTTTAAGGGTTAACAGCAACCCCGATCCCATCTGAACTCCTAACCTGTCTGTCCTCATCCCAAAATAGCAGAGATTGGTTAAGGGCCTGCTGCTGTTTTTTCAGACACTGGTAGGGCTTGGCCCTGCTAACTGTGAGAAAAGTTTAATAATCTTCATGAGCATAGAGCAAGAGACTGCTCCTAACTCTCTGCTTTTGCTCAGCCATCCAACCATCCTGGGTTTAACCTGGAGAAAACGAAGCCAGGGAAAGAAATGGTAGCCTTGACTTACTTGGATGAATTTAGCAAGAAAGCTCTGGACTGAAGGGGAGGAGAAGGGTTTATTTAAAAGTCTGCAGCTCTAAAATTTACTACTTCATTCTTGGTGCATTCTGCCAATGTTCCTTTTCACATGGTCAGTCTGGGAGGGGCTGACAGGCTGCACGCTCCTACTAGCCTTCCGTGCCACAGACCACAGTAACGTGAACAGTCCCACTGTGGTGCAAAGAAGAGAAAGTGTGCCAGTGAGTGTCTTTATTTGGCCTAAAAAAGGGAAGGATGAATGGTTGGAGAGCCTCAAATGAGTGCCTGCACAAGGATCCTATGCCCCACACAGCCTGAGCATTGCAACCTCTACCCCAGGTAGCTGCAGAAGGGGATGGGCTTCAGCCCTTGACTTCCATTTATGTACTTATCCTTTTTCCAGTGCAATGGGCCGTGTATTGGTCCCCGCCTAGCCGTGCAGCACAGGCAGATCTTCTGTCAGACCCGGGATGGCATCACCCTACCATCAGAGCAGTGTAGCACTCTGCCAAGGTAAGAGAAACTCCCCTTTGCAAGCCTCCTGTGGCAATAGGGTACAACAAGGGGAATGAGTGACTGTCTTTTCCAGCCTCTCATCACTCCCAGGGATCTGACACCCTGCCCTCTCACCCCCATTCACCCCAGGCCTCTCCAAAGGTAGAAGGCTCAGTGGTAGCCTTATGCTTGTAAAATAGGTCCCATTGGGCTGTTCTCTTGGAGATGACAGTTCAGAAGGTGGTGTTCCTTTCCTGATAACACAAGAGACTTCAATTAGCCCCAAACCAGGCAGGAGGAGTAGGCCCCCAGCTCCTCCCTCTAAAAGTTAGGCTGAGATCTAGAGACAAGGGCCCCTCATATCAGCCTTCATTGTGGTTCAGCTCCTATTATGGCTGTTTCCCTGCAGTGAGGAATCATCAGCCCCTGAGGCCAGGCTCAGCCTCTTCCACTCTGGGTGCAGTTCATTCTTGGGTCATGACATAACCCTTTTAGAGATGAGCAGATAGAGGCCCAATTAGAGGAAGTAGTAGCCTTCTTGAAATCATCTAGCCATTCATTAACAGAGCATCAGAACCCAGGTTGGGCAGCACTGGAAGTTCTTGAGAAGTTGCCCAACATCCTTAGATTTGCAGCAGCATTTTCACATCTGCCCTCCCCAGTCCCACCCCTAAAGAGGCTGACTCAACCCTGACACCCTCCTCCTGCAGGCCTGTGAGCACCCAGAACTGTTGGTCTGAAGCCTGCAGCGTACATTGGAGGGTCAGCTTGTGGACCCTGTGCACGGCAACCTGTGGCAACTACGGCTTCCAGTCCCGGCGGGTGGAATGTGTGCACGTTCGCACCAACAAGGCAGTACCCGAGCACCTGTGCTCCTGGGGGCCCCGGCCTGCCAACTGGCAGCGCTGCAATATCACCCCCTGTGAAAACAGTACGTTGCAACCCCAAAGAACCTTCTGCAGATATCCCTCAGGCCATCAGGTACATAGGGCACTGCATCAGGGTCCCCAAGGATTATGAGCTGGGCCAGAATTGGGCATTTTCAGAGGAATGCATGCAAGTAAATGTGTGTCCAGGCCACAAAAGATAGCTAGGTGTGTGCCAAGGGCTGCTGCTACTTCTCTATTGGGCCCTGAGGGAGCAGGGTGCTGCTGCCCAAGTGCTTGATGAAATCAGCCTATAACTCATCTGCAGTCTATGGGGCCAGTGCCCAGAAGGGACAACTAAACAATGGCTCTCAGGACTAGGCTGACAAGAAAGCGCTTTTACCATGGAAGAAGCATGCAGAGCGGCTTCTGCTCCACTGGCTTGCCCATCACTCCACTGCTTCTCACCAAACCAGGACCTGCTGGCCACCTCCCTGCTTCCCAGCCCATGGGCAGCCAATGGACTATGCAGGAGCCTGCCTACACACACAGCATTTGATAACCTTTTCAATCCTTCCTCCAACTCTGGATCCTGCCCAGCACTGAATTTGTATTTTGGGTTTGAGGAATTAAAAAAAAAAAAAAGAAGACAAAGCATAAAGATGACTCTCACTGAGCAATAGATTCCCAATGCTAAGGCAGATGCCCTATAGGCAAATAGACCTACTTTTTTTGTTGTTGTTGTTGGTATACCAGGGGATAGCTGGTCTTTGTGCTCTAATATGGCGCTCACCTGACCCTTCTTTGTGGCAGGAGCTCACCACACCCAGAGTGCCAATGTTCAGAGAAAGTAGCTAAGCTTTACTGTGGAAATCAGATTGTACAAATCAAATTGGCATGAATATTTAAGAACCATCTACTCTGTGCCAGTAATGAACTACAACACCATGGTGCTCTAGTAAGGTAGGTAGGTAGAAGGAGTAGAGGAGTTTAGGGAAGAGTACAGGCTTGCCTAGGAGGTGGGGTGGTCCTAGGAGAGGAGGAAACAAGCACCACCTGGAAATAGAATGATCAACTAGAAAGGAAGCAAAGGCAGGTGCCACCCCCATGGCTGGGAAGCAAGGGGCTGAGCTCTACCTACCCAGTGGTGCTGGAGAGCAATGGCCACATCCTTTAGCCTCTGTTTCACATCTCCTTTCTGTCCCCTTTCCCAGTGGAGTGCAGAGACACCACCAGGTACTGCGAGAAGGTGAAACAGCTGAAACTCTGCCAACTCAGCCAGTTCAAATCTCGCTGCTGTGGAACTTGTGGCAAAGCATGAAGACAGGGCACTGGGAAAAGCACAGCCCTGGCCACACAAAGGACTCATGAAAACCCTGGGACAGAACTTAAGTTTTCTTTATTTATTTATTTCTCCTTCCCCACCCTCATCCAACTTCCCTCCCCTTCCCCCACCATCATGAGGACCTCAGCAAGTTTTCTCTTTCAGTGAGCTGAAGGACAGAAGGTTGGGAAAGGAAAAGAATGGAGGTCTTGAGGAGGTTGCAGGGCTGGCTCCCCCTCAAACCTGGGCCCTGAAAAGATTTATGAAGAGGTAGGCATAGCCCCAGGATGGCAGGGAGCCAGCAGTAGACTAGAGATGGGTAGGTAGGGGTGCCACAAGGTGTGTGAGGTCTTGGTACAAATTTTGGACAACAAACTGGAAGCCCACTGTGAATGCTGGGGTGTGTGTGTCCCAGTGTCTCCCCTCAAGACAAGGTGGAAGAGAGGAGGACCCCCATGTTGGGGCAGAAACCAGCTCAGCTCTTCTAGTGGGATGAGGAAAGAACTCAAAATGTGGATAGGTAGAACTGAAGGAGAAGACAATCAAAGTAGGGAGGGGGCTAGAAGCAAATAGAAACCTGTTGTAGGTTCATCAGTAGAAAAGTTGAGGGAGGATAGCGCCTGCAGGAGGAGCCTTAAGAGAGCTCTGCTGAGGACACAGGCCCTGGGCACCACAGTGTGTGGTGACAGACATGCCGTCCATGGAGGGGAGAGGGAGTCCTCACCTCTGCACTGTCTGATAGAGCTTTCTGCCCATGTATGCAGCAAAGCCTGCCCAGGCATCTGTCTAAATCAGGAGTTCTCCAGCCCTGAACTAGCTGCTGCTGTGGGCCAGAGATGAGGGGGGAGAGGGGAGGATTGTCAATTTGTCAAAAATCAATTCATTAATGAATTTGCCAGAATATCTCCATGGGTTGTAGCAACCACTTCGTTCCCGAGCAGACCAAGGCAGGGGGTGTGCTTGTGTGTGCCCACAGTGCATTCCCCTGGCTGGTCAGCAGCCCTTCCAGCTTGAGCCTTGGCTCTGACACCTGGCCTGGAACATGCAAAGCACGTCAGACCATGTGATGGGGAGCTCTGTAAAGCCAAAGGCTGAAACAGGCATCAAAGACTTCAACCCCCCTCTTTACATGCACCAAGTTGCTATAAACTCTAACATTAAACTCTAACATATACCAGTTCCAGTGATTCAGTAGCTCAGCATGCAGCATGCAAAGACACACACACATTTCAACAGTAGGCATCAGTGACATTGGCTAACCAGATGGCTGGCGGTTCAAACCCACCAGCCACTCCTCGGAAGGAAGGTTGGGCAATCCTACTTCCGTAGTGATACTGCCTCGGAAACCCAAGGAGGGGTCGCTATGAGTCGGGGCCGACTCGACGGCACATAACAACAACAACAACATAGCCAAGTCAAGTGACAAGACTAGAAACTGCAGCCTACCTATTTTGGCAAATTCCTCACTCAGCAGAGCAGCTTAGGTGAGTGCTTTCGGCCTTCTCCTGGGAAGTAACTGCAAGTTAGTAGCCAGGGAAGGACATCAAGAACCATCCTACATGGTTTAGCTTAGCAGCCTCTAAGCTAAACCACCACCCCCTCACATACACACTCAAGAAATGCCACTCACTCCGGGGGCCACCACTGATATCAGGGCTGTATTAGCCAGCCCACATAAGTTTTTTGGGGGAGAAGACATGTTGAACTGTGTCCTCCCTGGGTGAGCTACAGCGAATCATGGTGGGTGTCTCCCCTTTCTTCTCCACAAAAATGGGCTCCAAGATACCATGTTACTAAAAATCAGTGTAATGTTTATTTAAAATAAAGAATGTTTTCTATGTATAGCTTTTGTGAATATTTATTAGGATTTCTTGTATAAAAAAGTGCAATATTAATAATTGTACATTGTCATCCAGAATAAAAATATTTGGGGGGACTTTGTATTAACTTCCTGCAGTTGTGGTCCTGTAAACTCTAGTAATGTATTTTTCCTATTTTTAATAGAACCTGGTGTTTAACTTTGAATCCATTCACTGTGTGCAGTATACATTGTAAAAGCTAATGCAGGGTGATGGGACAAAAAGAGGGGATTTCATTTGTGACACAACAGTTATGCATGGAACAAAGATGACAGATTCCATACTACTACTAATGTGGTTGTTTCTAGTTCAATAACTATTGAAAGCCAGTGGACGATATTTACATTTCTTACATAGGAGGTGTCCTCCAGCTATGCTGTGTGTCAGATTTTAGTGGTTGGAAGTGGGTTTCGGAGTGAGCTGGAGACCCTAGGTTTGGGGATGGAAAGCAGTGTTCTCCTTGCATGGAATGAATGTACATTTAATGTTTGTCCTGTGAATTGTGACTCAGCAGCACCACAAGATTATTTGTGTTGCTGAATAATGTGGAAGGAGGCACTTCCTCCTCTAAAACACCAACCTGTATTTATAATTTTTTTGTACAGATAATACAGCTTATTTATTTAAATCTTGTCGTCTGACTTTCTATTAAGCTCAACCTTCCCATCTTGTTTTATGCTGAAGATGTGAAAAGTTATCACCCAGCTGGTGGAAGCAGGAGTCGAACTTGAGCAATCTGACTCTAGCTAGAGCCTGTGCTCTTACCCATGATGCCACCTTCTGTCCCCTCTGTGCCAGAGCCCACCCTGGCATATGTACCATCCTTCCCTACTGCTTTGAGATTAGCAGCAAATAACAATAGGGTATTTTACTAGAGTTGTCATTAAAATCAATTCTTACAGTGTTCTAAGGCTCCTGGCTCCCTGTTTTTAAATCATCTTTAGCAGAAGTAGCGCTACTATGAGAAAGTGCATAAAAAACAAAATTTTGTTTTGAGGACACAGTTCAACATGTCTTCTCCCCAAAAAGTGCATATTTGTGGTGCTCTTCAGAAACAGACTGTAGAGAAAGAGCACCCAGGCCCAGACCATGCCCATACAGGGACCATCAGGATTGAAGCTCAGAAGAGCTCCAACCTGCTTTCCTGCAACTCTCCCCAGGGCATCAGATTCCTATTGAGCAGTGTGAGATATACCAGATAGCTCTTCTTGAATCTCTAAATATTTTCTATGAAATTTTAGGTTTTGCTTTCAAAGAAAAAGCCAATGCTAGAACTCTACATATTCACATACCAGTGACTGAACCATGTCCTGCAGAGGCCCCAGGACAGGGGGAGTTGGAAATGTCAGGGCAGAAACCCAGGAAGCCTCAAATGGTGGGAAGGGCTCAAACAGAACATATGGAACTTTTTACGAGCGAAATCACAGAGGGGAGAGAGAGATTCCTACCAAGATGCCACGAAACATCATATAAAAGTTTAGAATCTTAACCACAGGCCAGTCCTAGGGTTTCGACTTCTTATACGAGTCCCCTGCTTGGCTTCAGAAGTTTCCAAAGCTTTGAGAAGAAAAGCCCAGGAACTCCATGGACCCATTAAGATCACAATGGTCAACAGTCACCAACTCTCATTGATGCCTCGGCTTCCTCACCTTTATGGGCTGACATCTCATAGAGTTCTGAGCACTCTGTTAATTCATATCAAGAAGATATAAGGGTGCCTGGCTCATCATCCAAACTACCTTGGAGAGATGGGGAGACAAAGGGTAGGGCTGGCAGAAATGATTGCTATTTTACATTATTCCCTAGTGTCAGTTTTGAAAACCTCTTCCTCTATTTTCATTTTCAATTGAGGAAGACAACAGTCATTCCTTCAAAGCTCAATACTCTATAAAAGATGTCCACAAGGGTGTAAATAAGGGAGGCATTAGTGAACCAAATTTGTGTCTTGGGGAAAAAAACAGATCAGTGGGCATAGCCAACTCAAATGTGTGCCAAAATGTTGGCAAGCTTCCAGAAATATTTCACAGGACAAATGTAATAATTCCAAATGCACAGCCTCTTCTCAATTCAAAATACACAGATAACACATAACTGCCATTTCCTCTGATTCACTGGAAAACATGGAGAAATACCTGCTCCTAAGTAAAAACACAAATAATGTAAAAGGTAAAACGAAGGGTATCTCACTTACCAAGTGGTAGTTTCTCTTAAACAGCATGCTATTCCCTTCCCCTCGCTCTGCAAATCAACCTAAAGGAAAATATCCAATTTCATTAATGTTCTCCACTAAAATAAGACAAACTTGATCTCAGTCATCTATTTGTGCTGATCCCCAAAATAGGCAAAGCTACTCACAAAGAGTAAGGGAATAAGTGGGTAAGTAGAGAAGGTTGGAGCTTTCAGTAAATAATCTAACAAAAACTGGCAAAGAAGGTGAAATTAGGAAAAGGAAGTGTCATCCTTGGTTTTGTCTCTCTCTGATCCTCATTTTGTTCATCAAACTAACTATGATTTAAAGATTTCAAGATTGAGATTCAGTATGAATTGAATGTGACTTAAATTAGGGATGGTTATCTGCCCATATCATAGACTGTCAATTAAGGAAATATAACTGTTGATGCAAGTCTTGGAGGGAAGAGCAAAGAACAGAATATCTAAGGAATGTTACTAATCTTTGAAGTTGAACACAAAATTATTGTCTGCCCTCACCCACCCACCCATCTTTCCCACTTTTACAAGTCAAATGTATGTGAGCTGGCTGGAGGCTTATCTTTGGCCAAGCCTCAATTTCTTACTCACAGTACCCCAAGGTCTTCACATGTTTCTTGCCACCCTGAAACTGGAAGGCAGATATCAGTAATTAAGCCTCTGCTAACAAGAACTGGGCTGTCACCCTGCTTGTCAACCAGAGGTTTACAATTCACTCAGATGGGATTCTGTGAAGCACCTGGTCCCAATCAACCACATCTGTCACGCCTCTGATAACACAATATACAGATGTCACTCACCTCTGTGTTTTCAAAAGCCAGAATCCATCTTCAACCAAGGATTTCCCAGGCTGCTCCTAAATATATGGTTTATATCTGTGTAAACAGAAATTAAACATGCAGTTTTATGTGAGTGAGGAGAAAGCAGACA